TTGTGCCTAGATTTAAGGGCACAATGATGTTTGGTACATACATAAAAATTGCTACTGTAATAAAATGACTTCATAGGAGTTACCCAATGATTAACATGAAAGGTGCATGTGGGAACACGAACACAATTTTTCAAGCACTTGTCTATATATAATAAGTATTTTTTTTTAAAAAAAATTCTATTATTATACGGAGTATATGTTTGAAAGTCCATGGAATTTTGCTAGATTGGTCAAGAGACTTTCAAATATTCTAACCAAGACTCTAACCATTTCATACATTATTATTCTATATTTAGATTTATGCTACAATTCTACAATACCCATTATCTCTCCTTTGAAAGTAATCAGAAGAACCATATCTTTAAAGGCCTTGAAGTAATTGATTCTTTCATGAAAATTTGTAAATTTTTCATTTTGAGACATCAATTGATGAAAGACCAGAGAGGGGGATTCATATATAGTATACCCTGACGTAAGGTGCATTTATGAATATTTTTGAAAAAAATAAAAAATGTGGTGCACCTTGCACCTGGATGTATACAACAATTTTTAATACTCCGTACTATTTAATCCCTAACAATCGTAAGGAAATTTCTTGAGAAATATCACTACATAGAAATAGTAAGAAAAAATGGACTTATATCCAGAATATAGAGAGTACAATTGCATACAAATAAAGTGGATGAGCGATAAATTAATGATACATGTATTTCTCCATCATAGTTAATGTGTAAATGTATTCTAAATCTAGATATGATTCAGAAGAGTATTGAACGACCCTATGTCTATTGGGCATCATAAGATACAAATTGTCATGTTGTATATATAACCATATGGAAACATGGAGTGATGGAGTAGACAATTTATATCGATTGTCTACATTTCCAAGATGCGTGTAACACTATAAGAGTATAACACTATAATAGACCATTGATTTAACGACTCTTCTTTATAATTTTATAGATAGAATTTTTTTATTAAATTTTCCCCTTCAAGTGTAATTATCATAAACCTTAAAGTTCTTAAGCTACAAATTATCTAAATTTTGAAAATTGAAAACACATTTGACATTACTTTTAAGTTAATTCCTATAGATATCGAAGCTAAATGGATCTATTTACAGGCCCAAGTTGAATAATTACATTTGGGTTACTGGACTAATGGACTCCCATATTCAAAATACCGCTGCTTGTGTTTTTAGGCCCAATAAATGAAGTCACATTTCATAGAGGAAAACACAATCCTGGACTTCCATACTTTTTAGTAGTGAGTATGATCAATCATTTATTCAGTATTCATGGATAAAAACACCACACGGTGATGAATTTGCTAAAACCACAAATTCACCAAACTAGCTACTACTATTAGGAGTAAGCTATATAACCCGTGAATCCATGAGATTAACTAGATTTGTCTAAACTTATTTGAACTAATGTTAACATATTTGATCATCATATAATTATGAACTTCTCAAAGCTTATTTAAATTGCAGATGATCATAACTAAATGATAGAGTATAAAACATATTCCTGGGCCTCAACCATTAGTTTAAGCTTTTGGTTGAGATGGTCCTCTTACATAGTATCAGAGCCAGCGTGACACAAAGGTCACGGGTTCGAATCTCATCCGCCCCTCCTTCAAAGTGGAACTAATTCGCACAAGGTATGTGTGGGCCTGTGTTGCATCCACATTTCAAGCCCAAAAAGCCTTTCATGTGATGGGGAGTGATAGAGTATAAAACATATTCTTGGGCCTCAACCATTAGTTTAAGCTTTTGGTTGAGATGATCCTCTTACACTAAATAACCTTTATTAACCATTACAACCCATCCCGAGCTTATTTTTACTTAATTGGACTAAAATGGACCTCAAAGCAATTCAAGACCAACTTGATGTTTCAAACTAAATAAATATAGATTGTAACATTTTACCTTGCCCTCAACTTCATTAAATTTTTTTTTTTTTTTTTTGGGTCCATATGAGGAACAAGTCCAAGAAAGAAACAGAAACAAAAGAACAGAAAAGCAAAATAAAAGCAACCCTATGGAGGAATTAAGCGTGGGAAAGATATTCCCCTAGCATCCTCACTTATAATACTACTAAGACCAAACGGAATATAATTAAAAATGACTAAATCTGTGTCTAACAAGACTCCGCGGTTGGCCAACCAATCCGTCGCTCGATTCCCTTCTCTGTAGATATGATTAACCTTGATTTCCCAGTTAGCATCCCTTAGCTTCGAAAGGCAGTGATTTATATCATGAGCATTCGCACCACTACCTGCTTCTCCATTACGCATGAGTTGAACACAAGCTAAGTTGTCTAGTTGAATTTCGACATGTTTAATATGGAGGTTTTGAGCAAGGTCTAGACCCCTAGCAAGAGCTAGAATCTCAGCACAAAAAGCATTGCAATGTCCAAAAATTAGCAGCAAAAGCCGAAATGAATCGACCCTAGTGATCTCTAATTATTCCACCCCCACCTGCAGGACCAGGAGTCCCCTTAGCAGCCCCATCGCAGTTGAGCACATACCATCCCAAGGAAGGAGAATTCCATGCTATATCACATTGTTGCTTTTGAGTTGTACTCGAGTTGTCACCTAGGATTTGCTTCATATTGCTGCGACGAGTTTCATCAAATCTGATGTGCAAGAATGCATTAATATCAAGAGGGAGGTCTTCCTTTCTGTCAAAAACATAACTATTTCTCCACCTCCATAACCACCAAACAGTGATACCAAATTTCATATCCCGATCATCAATTTCCCCAACAAAGGAATTTTTCAGATTTTTTGTAATCCAATCCTTCAGTGTACCACGAAAGAACTGAGTTTGTTGGATGGGATTGAGCAATTTTTTCCATATTATCTTGGCTATTGGGAAATCACGAAGGATATGTAGTGTACTCTCTTTAGGGTGATCACAAATGTAGCACTTTGGATTCTTTTCCAAGTTGCGCTTGTATCTATTCAAATTACCCATCACTCTGTCATGACAGGCCAACCATAAGAATGCACGGATTCTCTGTTGAACCGGAGCATGCCATATTAAATCCCAGCATTCCTCATCAAAAACATCAGTCTCATGGCGCATTATACTCATGGCAGACTTAATTGAAAATTTGCCTTTGGAATTACCTTTCCAATAGATTAAACCACCAATGTTTGGGTCTTGTCTAACCTCATGGTTTCTGATTAATTTGAGAACATCTTGGCTAAGATAAGGAGCAAAGACAGTCCATTTCCAACCGCATCCTTCCTCCCACATCTCTTGTACTGTCGCGCCCAATATGTCCTCAGGAATCGGTTGAGAAGCAATATCACTAAGGGGTTTATCAGTCACCCACTTATGGTCCCAAAACAAGGTGTTTGTTCCATTTCCAATAGCAATTTGCGTACCTTCTCCTAGCAGTTTGGCGTTGTCCGTAATACCCCTCCAAACATTCGACACACAAGCCTTAGGGACGAACATATCGACGTCACAACGCCCTTTACAATACTTAGCCCGCAACACTCTAGACCAAAGAGAATTAGGCTCAGTGAGCACACGCCACCCCAATTTCGTGAGAAATGCAGAGTTAGCCTGTTTTGCCGAGTATATGCCTAAACCATCAACATTCTTCGGTTTTTGTAGCACCTCCCAAGATAAGAGATGAACCTTGCGTTTCTCTTCATCCCCTCCCCATATGAATCTCCTCGTTTTCTTATCGATGTCTTCACAGATCGATCGAGGAATCTTCGCGGTTTGCATCGAATAAAGAGACATGGTTGAGAGAGTAGACTTTGTCAGAGTAATTCTGCCTGCTAGGGATAAATATTTGGATTTCCAACCTGCTAGGCGGCGGTCTATCTTCTCGCAAAGATGACTAAAAGTCTCTTTAGTAACCCTGCTTGTGAGCGTAGGCATTCCTAGGTAAAGACCAAGGTCCGATGTAGCTTCCATTCCAAGGGCAGTGCTAATGTCTCCCTGTACATCTATCCCAACGTTTTTAGAGAAGAAAACGCGGGACTTAGATAAGCTAACTTTCTGTCCTGATGCATTACAAAATCGATGCAAACAAGTGTGAATAACCTAAGCTTGGTCGATAGAGGCTTCCGCAAAAAGCACTATATCGTCTGCAAAAAACAAGTTCGAGAGGAGGGGGCCATCTCTACTAGCTCGGATGGGTTTCCAGTGACCATTAGCAATTGATGACTCAATTAGTTGGTAAAATCGTTCCATACACATCAAAAAGAGATAGGGAGAAAGCGGGTCGCCTTGGCGGACTCCCCTACTTGGCTTAAAATTTTGAGATGGTTCCCCATTCCAAAGCACTTGAAGTGAAGCCGTTGAAATACATTCCATGATTACATCAATCATTGTGATGGGTAGGTTCATTTGGATTAAATTATCTCTAATAAAAGACCAACGAAGCCGATCGTAAGCCTTTTCAAAGTCTATTTTAATCGCCATGAGACCTTTTGATCCTTGTTTTCGACCCATGGTGTGGAGAACCTCTTGCATTATAACAATATTATCAGTGATTTGGCGACCCAGGACAAAACTAGATTGAGTGTTGGAAATCAATTTGGGAAGAACAGGCTTCAACCTATTGATAATCACTTTGGTGATGATTTTGTAAGCCACATTGCAAAATCCTATTGGACGAAATTGTGAAGCTAACTCAGGACGTTCCACCTTTGGTAAAAGAGCTATGAATGTGCTATTTAATTCATCAGGGAACCCCTTACCCTCTAATACTGGAATGATTGTAGCATATACATTATTAGCTACAATATCCCAATTTTTTTTGATAAAAAAGGGCTTGAAATCCATTGGGGCTCGGGGCTTTAAGAGCACTCATCTCCTTAATAACACTGTCAATTTCCATCTTTGAATATGGTCTACAAAGAAAATTCCAGTCATGCGCCAAGAGTTCGGAAAATACATCACAAGGAATATCCAAAAACTCTGTTTCTCCTTCCTCAGTGAAAAAAGTAGAGAAATATTCTACTATATGATTTTAAATATCCCCTTTATCTTGAATCCATACCCCGTTATTATCTTTAAGAGCCACTATTTTGTTCCTCCATCTTCTGACAATGGTACTTAAGTGGAAGAACGTAGTGTTACGATCACCATCCTTTAACCAATCAATACGAGATTTTTGATACCAAAGAGTCTCCTCTCTACTCAAAATTTCATCAAGTTTTCTTCTAAGCTTTGCTTCCAATTTTAATAAGCCCCTATCAACCCGAGTAGCTAGAATTTTCTGCACTCCACCAATACGAGCAAGCAATGACCTTTTCTGCTTGAAAATATTCCCAAATACTTCACGATTCCAGTTTTGCAAATCGCTAGAGAGTTTAGAAAGAGCAGGCATGAGGGGACTGTTTTCTTCCCATTTGTCTTTGACAAAATTCTGGAATTTTTCGTGTAAGAGCCAGGATGCTTGAAATTTGAATGGACGGTGAAGAGATTGGAGGGGAGCGAATCCATTCGGAGAAATAAATATTGGGCAATGATCCGAGTAAACTGCCGATATATGTTTCATGGAAGCCTTCTCAAATCTCAAAGCCCAATGTTCATTGCATAGTGCTCGATCTAGCCGACCACTCCTCCTTGTTTCAGGATTTAAACCACGCGCCCAAGTATGAGCTGCTCCGGAGAATTCAACCTCTAATAAGTCCATATCCTCAATCCACGCATTAAATTTTTCAGACCTTCTCGTGGTTTCGAAACAGGAACTATTTCTTTCGGAAGGGAACCTTGTATCATTAAAGTCACCAGCCAGCATCCAAGGTTTGTTATGAGAAGTCGCAAACTTCTTAAGATCCTCCCACAATTCCCTTCTTTTCAATGGGTCAGGGCTCGCATAAATAGCCTAAAAATACCAAGGAGTAGCGCCCACTCTAGATATTTCCATTGTAATATGTTGATTATGTTTTATGATGGGGCTTACAGTGACAAACTCAGGCCGCCAGTACACCCAAATTCCACCGCTAAAACCCATGGCATCAACTCTTGAATGACCAGAATAACCGAGAATGGAAGAAAATCTTAAGAGCTTGATCCCCTCCCATGTGCGTTTCTACCAACACAAGTACATTAGGCTGGTTAGCCCTAACTAAGTCCTTCAACGAAGAGATAAAATTATTATTCCCTGCACCTTGCACATTCCATACTAAGCAGGTGATAGGTAAAGAGTCCGGAGCCAAATTAGGTAGTCTTTCTTCCATAGAAACAGGGATAGAAGTAAGAGTGGTCATGTAAGCTTGACTTAACAGCCTAATCAATCAATTAATTTCATTGGTTGGTTTCATTGTCACCACCAAGTTCGGGGGATCCGAGATTGGGGGTAGGAATGAATCCATCTGGACTTCGAGTACATGAATCAAGGGGTTCGTGGTTACGAGGTATGGTTGCTCCATCACCTGTCCCACACACAGAATCTTCTCCAGAGGTACCGTAAGCTTGATTGGGAATGGAGTTTGAGACATGGGATATAGAGTTGTCTAGCTCATGAAGAACTTGAGAGGGCTTGCTATTGGCCTGTGGTGTGATTAAATTGGCTTGAGGCTGTGCTTCTTGATTTAGCTTAAACAGAAAGGGTGAATTTTCTTTTCCTGTATTTGAAGACTTGCCACAAGTGGAAGCAGGGACTCTTACATTAGCATCAATTTCTTTAAGAGGGGCGTTGGTATTCTGTGAGGATTTTACTCCTTTTTCTTGATAAACTTTGGGGAGATTTTTCCTCTGTTTTGACTTGAGTTGATTGGAGTTGATATTTTTTGCCTTTGCAAAAGATTGTGTTCTATCAGTTGGTTGCAATCTTTGAAAAAAACCTCCCAAGTTTATCGTACTAGGAATATTTCCATCCATATCACTCTCAATATTATCTAAATCCTCTGTTACCATATTTTTTTCCTTATTTCCCTCAACTTCTGCCTCCTCTTTATTTTGAAGAACCGAAAATCTCGAGCCAATCCCCGGATTATTGTCAACAATATTTGTAGGAATATTGTTTCCGTTTTTACCCCCTTCCATCGAATTTGAATTCCCTGCCACCTTCACACCACCCAAATTGGTTGTGCCACCACCAGAACCACCCTTATCCACTTTTGGATTTCTTTTTCTCATTGGTTTTTAACTAACATCCAAGATCCAAAATCTCCAGTCTCCTCTGGTTTATGAGTGATATACAAGTTTTATACATATATCTTCCCAACTTTTCATTACGTTTTTGCATGGTTTTGGGCTCTTTTGAGCCATTTCCCGCTAACAATCTCCTCTCTAGTGTGTTCGGTGTATTTTTATAAGTTTTACAGGAATTTGGAGTTTTCCGGACAATTCGGACATGTTTAGAGCAATTTGGAGATGTTAGTGGACGAGGACGTATAAGCAAGCTAAACAACGAACCAAGACTAAGGAGAAAGGAGGAAGAAAAGCAGCAATTATAGCTGTGCCCGACCGGGTTAGGCATGCCCGGTCAGATCGGGCGTAATAGAGGAAGTCAGGCTAATGGCAGTCAAAGCAATCATCTGAATTTGGCAATCTGTGCCACGCGCCCGATCGGGCAACCCATGCCCGGTCAGACCGGGCGCATGGTAGAAGAAGCTTGACATTGCTACGAAGCTCAAGAGAAGGCAGCAGGATGATTTTGGTCTCGCGCCCGATCGGGCTCAACCTGCCCGGTTGGACCGGGCGAAGAAGAACTCCAGCGGAAGCAATTTTAGCAACTTTAATCCTAAGTGCCCGATCGGGCAGGCACAACCCGGTTGGACCGGGCACAGTTATGCGACACTCCGTATTATTATTTTCTTATTTTTAGGTCATTAAGGGTATAAATACCCCTTGTAATCTTCATTAGAAAGAAGTTTTAGTTTTCCATTATTCCTCTTTCTCTCTCTAGAATTCTAATTTATCATTTTGAAGCAATTTTAAATACTTGCACAAGATTTGAGCATTGTTCTTCAACAATTTAATTCCTTTCAATTAAAGAATCCTTGGTATTCACTTCTACTTCATTCTCTTTCAATTATAATTGCTTTTCAATTATGTTTTCCATATTTATGATTGTTATTGTTTCTTTCAATATGTGTGAGTAGATTTTCTATTCCAAGATCTAGGGTAACCCAATTATGATTGATGCATGAATTAAAACTTTAAATTCTCTAATGACTTTTACAATTGCTATGCTAATTTGATTGTGATTATGTCAATACTAGGTTAGACGTAATCTTAGTATTGTGATTATTCCATTGTTTCTATCACAACGAGAGTTGGATTTAAACGGATTTGAGTAGATCAATTTAGGGTTTGATTTTCAACATGAGAATAGTTGGGTTGATGATTGGGAAGTGAGAGTAATGTGTTTAATGTCTCTAATATTCATGATACCATGAGAATAGGCTTGATTGTATGTTAGGGAAGCCATTGATACTCGAGAGAGGTCCTTGGTATTGATTAGGGTTTACTTTTCCCCGTTCAATTGGAATTGTATGTTAGGGGTAGAAATATAATTGCATCATTCGTAATTGTGGTGATACTTGATCTTGGATGTTTTAATTATTTGATTTCTTCATATTCTTTAGTTTATTTTCGAATTTTCCATACAATAGTTCTTTAGTTAATCGATCATTGTTGAATTCTGCTTAGTAATTACTTGAGCCTAAATAGTTATTGGTGAACCATAGTCTCTTGGGATTCGACCCTTACTTGCCAGTTTACATAGTAGTGGTTATTTAGGTTATTTTTGCTAGGTACGCGACACGCCTATCAAATTTTGGCGCCGTTGCCGGGGACTAACGGTTTCATTAGATTATTTGTGATTCGTTTTTGCTGGGCTTATTTCGTTGCTTCGGCTATTTTCTCTTGTGTTTTTTGATACTCTTTCTCTAGTTTTCTTGTTGCATGCCCACACGAAGCTCAGGTTCGGAAGATCTAGTACCTTTTGGTTCTGAAATCGAAGCAACCGCAAGAAGACGGGCAGGTAGAAGAAGAAGGAGAAATCAAACCAGTAGAAACATGGTAGACCAACCAACGAAATCCCTTCTGGAGTACGGTATTCCTGATACGACTACCGGAATCCTTTCTAGCATCGTAAGACCACCTGTGACGGCTCAGCACTTCGAACTCAAGCCGCAATTCATCCAGTTCATCTCCAATGATTCATTTGCAGGGCTATCATATGATTGCCCAGTAAGTCATATTGATAGCTTTTTGGAGAAATGTGATACCATGAAGATGAATGGTGTTACAGACGATGCTCTTAGACTTCGCCTTTTTCCTTTTTCATTACGGGATAGGGCGAAGGAATGGCTGAGAGATGAAGGTTCTGGCTCATTTGACACATGGGACAAATTGGTGAAGGCTTTCCTAGTCAAGTTCTTGGGACAGGAAAAGACTGCAAGGTTGAGAAACGAGTTATCCACTTTCAGGCAGTCAGATGATGATTCCCTATATGACACATGGAGGAGATTCAAGCGTTTGCAGAGACAATGCCCTCACCATGGTATTCCTAAATGGATGTTGATCCAAACTTTCTACAATGGCCTAACTCATGAGTTCTGAATCTACATTGATGCTGCATCTGGGGGCTCTCTCTTGACAAAGAACCCCACTGAAGCAAAGGAGCTTATAGAGAAGATGGCAGCCAACGATAATTATCATCCAGGAGGCCGAAACACTGTGAAAAAGGGAGGTAAACTTGATGTTGATGCCTTAACTATGCTAACCAGTTCTGTGCAAGCACTAACAAGCAGGTTTGATAAGTTCCAAGCTGGAACCTCTACTAGCCCACAGGAGTTGTGTCAATTGTGTAATGTGCAGGGTCATATTGCACCAGATTGCCCGCAGATTTCGCAGAATACAGAGGAGATGTCAATCGAGTAGGCCAATGCTTTCTACTCCTCTAACCCCAAAAGGCCCTATGACCCCTATTCCAACACCTATAATGAAGGATGGAAACACCATCCTAACTTTTCATACAAGAATACCCAAGCACAGCAAAATCCACCTCAACCCAACAACTACAACCAACCACCACCCGGCTTCCAACAAAGACCACCCAGCACCCAACAACCAATGCAACCACAACCTCAGAAATCTAGCCTTGAGGTGACGTTAGAGAGCTTTATAACCGCAACAAATAGTGCCATCCAACACCAAAATAGCTCTATCCAACAGTTGCAGGCCCAGAGTAAACTCATGGAAAACCAGATAAGCCAACTTGCCAATCAAGTTAGCCAATCTTTAAAGATTCCAGGAACTTTTCCGGGCCAGACAGAACAACCTCAAAAAGGCCAAATGAATGTTGTTACCCTGAGGAGTGGAAAGCAATTGGAAGATCCTCCTACCAAGGAGCCATCAAAGGAGGTCGTTGAAGAAGCAGGTGCAAGTGAGAAGGAAGTTGACAACTCTAAGGTCGAGGATGAATCAAAGGAAGAACCACCAAAGCCACTTTCTCCGTATGTGCCCAAGGTTCCTTTTCCTCAAAGGTTAGCCCAAGCTAAACTTGAGAAAAAGTTCAGTAAGTTTCTTAATATTCTTAAAAAGCTTCATATTAATATTCCATTTTTAGACGCCATATCTGAGATGCCTTCTTATGCAAAATTCTTAAAAGATATGCTATCTAACAAGAAAAAGTTAGAAGAGAATACTACAGTTGCTTTGAATGCAGAGTGCAGTGCTATTTTGCAGAACACTCTCCCTAAGAAATTAGGAGATCCAGATAGCTATTTGATTCCAGTGAAGCTTGGAGATATCAAAATTAACAGGGCATTGTGTGATCTAGGTGCAAGTGTAAGCCTCATGCCACTGTCCATATGCAAGAAGCTGCAAATGGGTGAGCTCAAACCCACACGCATATCCCTGCAACTTGCAGACAGGTCAGTGAAGTTTCCTTTGGGTGTACTTGAGGATGTACCTCTTCGCGTAGGTAAGTTTTTCATACCTTGTGATTTTGTTGTGATGGAGATGGATGAAGATGTGAATGTTCCAATTATACTTGGTAGACCTTTCTTAGCTACTGCAGGTGCAATTATTGATATGAAGAAAGGTAAGATTACTTTTGAAGTAGGTGATGAGAAATTGGAATACTCACTTTTGAATGTCATGGGTGCTCCTTCTATGGGAGACACTGTTTGTCAGGTTGATGTGCTCGATGAGCTGCAGAATGAGAAACTTCCCTTGAATCAGAATGATGATGCTCTTGAACAAGTGCTATTAGGGAAGGAAGATGATGATGGAAATTGGGAGTCAAGAGAGTATGTCAGGCTGTTTGAAGAAGCAAAGGCCGATCTGAACATGAATCCAATCAGAGAGACATTGAGTGTAATGAGTATTGGGGAGAGTTCTAAGCCTCCCGAGGTAGAGTTGAAACCCCTCCCCTCTAACTTAAAGTATGCATATCTTGGTCCAAACAATTCATATCCTGTTATTGTTAATGCTGAACTCAAGGACACAGAATTGGAGCAATTGCTCAATGTTCTGAAAACATATAAAAGTGTTATTGGGTACACCATTGATGATATCAAGGGTATTAATCCTTTTTTTTGTATGCATAAGATCATTCTTGAAAACGATCATGCCTTTTCTGTAGAACCTCAGAGAAGACTTAATCCAAATATGATGGAGGTAGTGAAAAAAGAGGTTCTTAAATTGCTTGCTGCAGGAATAATCTACCCTATCTCTGATAGTAAGTGGGTTATCCCTATACAAGTAGTACCAAAGAAGGGAGGTATGACCGTTGTCAAAAATGAGAAGGGTGAGCCAGTCGCCACTAGGACTGTTACAAGGTGGCGAATGTGTATAGATTATAGAAAATTGAATAAAGCCACCCTGAAAGATCATTTTCCCCTACCCTTTATTGATCAAATGCTTGAAAGGTTGGCAAAGCATTCCTTTTTCTGTTACTTGGATGGATATTCTGGTTTCTTTCAAATTCCCATTCGTCCCTGTGACCAGGAAAAGACTACTTTCACATGTCCATATGGCACCTTTGCATATCGCACGATGCCATTTGGACTATGTAATGCCCCTGCCACCTTTCAGAGATGTATGATGGCAATTTTCTCAGGACTCATAGAAAACTCTATGGAAGTCTTTATGGATGACTTCTCCGTTTATGGAACAACCTTCGATGTATGCCTTGCAAATTTGAAGAAGGTGCTCCAAAGATGTAAAGAGGTCAATTTAATCTTAAACTGGGAAAAATGCCATTTTATGGTACAACAAGGTATTATTTTAGGCCATGTTGTATCCAATAAGGGTATTGAAGTAGACAGAGCTAAAATAGAGGTCATAGAGCGCTTACCACCACCAAACTCTGTAAAAGGAGTTCGAAGTTTCCTTGGACATGTAGGTTTTTATCGTCGTTTTATCAAGGATTTTTCGAAAATTGCTCGACCTCTAACTGAGCTCTTGGCCAAGGATGTACCTTTTGTTTTTTCTGATGCTTGTCTTAAAGCTTTTAACAGGTTAAAGGAAGCCTTGATATCTGCTCCTGTCATGCAACCCCCAGATTGGAGTCTGCCGTTCGAAATCATGTGCGATGCTAGTGATTATGCGGTAGGAGCCGTGTTGGGGCAAAGGAAGGAGAAGAAGCTTCATGCAATATACTATACTAGAAAAACTTTGAGTTTTACTCAAATGAATTATGCCACGACAGAAAAAGAAATGCTAGCAGTAATATATGCAATTGACAAGTTTCACTCTTATTTGGTAGGTTCTAAGGTCATCATTCATACAGATCATGCAGCATTGAGATAATTGATGACCAAAACCCATGCCAAGCCTAGGTTGATTCGATGGATTCTTCAACTACAGGATTATGACATCGAAATCAAGGATACCAAGGGAACGAAGAATGTTGTTGCAGACCATCTTTCCCGTCTTATCCTTGACCCTGAGAATGGAGATGAAGTTCCTTTTGATGATTCTTTTCCTGCAGAGCACTTATTAGTTTTATTACAGACTGAATCACCTTGTTTTGCTGACTTGGCTAATTTCCTCTCTACAGGTACAATGCCTCATGGCTACTCCTCTCAACAGAGGAAGAAATTCCTTTCTGAGGCAAGGAGATATTTCTGGGATGATCCGTTCCTGTACAAACAATGCGCAGATTCTATGATTCGAAGATGCATTCCAGAAATTGAGGTAAATTATATAATTTCTCATTGCCATGACTTACCTTGTGGTGGACATGCAGGCCCCTCGAAGACAATTGCAAATATCTTGCAATGCGGATTTTATTGGCCTACTATGTTCAAGGATACATATGCCTATGTCACGGCTTGCGATAGATGTCAACGAACGGGCACAATTTCTAAGAAGAACGAGATGCCACTTAACAACATACTCGAGGTCGAGTTGTTTGATGTGTGGGGGATAGATTTCATGGGTCCGTTTCCCTCTTCCTATGGCAACAATTATATCTTGCTAGCCATTGATTATGTCTCAAAGTGGGTGGAAGCAATTGCTACTCCAACCAACGATGCTCGTGTGGTAAGTAAGTTTTTCAAGAAAGTTATTTTCCCTCGTTTTGGTTTACCACGTGTGTTGATTAGTGACAGGGGAACACATTTTCTGGAGCATCGATTTGAGGCGATGTTGAAGAAATATGGAGTGCAACATAAGCTTGGAATTGGCTACCACCCACAGACTAGTGGCCAAGTTGAAGTATCAAATCGAGAGATCAAGTCCATCATCAAAAAAACTGTTGCACGAACAAGAAAGGACTGGTCTGTCAAGCTAGATGATGCACTTTGGGCGTACCGAACGACCTTCAAAACGCCAATCGGAACAACCCCATATAGGCTTGTCTATGGAAAAGCGTGCCATCTTCCCGTCGAGCTAGAACACCGAGCATTCTGGGCCATAAAAAGCTTGAATTTTGATGCCAAAGCAGCGGGAGAGAATAGATTGTTACAACTTAATGAATTAGATGAGCTTCGTCTCGAAGCCTATGAGAATTCGAGGTTGTATAAAGAGAAAACAAAAAGGTGGCATGACAAAAACCTTGTGAGAAGAGAGTTCAAAGAAGGGGATCAAGTCCTTCTTTTCAACTCTAGGTTGAGACTATTCCCAGGTAAGCTTCGGTCTAGGTGGTCAGGGCCATTCAAGATTAGAAAAGTTTTCCCCTACGGCACTATCGAGTTGGAGAACACAAGAGGGGAACCCTTCAAGGTCAATGGACAGAGAATGAAGCATTACCGAGTCGGTGTTCCCATCGGTGAGGGGGTGGACATCACACTCTCATCCCCATCACAAAACTCTTGAGAATTATTATGGTCAAGCTAAAGACCTTAAAAACAAGCGCTTTTCGGGAGGCAACCCGTTTTTCTTTTAATTCCCCCCGTTTTTCAATTAATTTCTCTTTTTTTTTTATGAAGTTTTGTGTGTGTCTTTTATCTTCAGAGAATATCAGCATATAGGAAAAGTGGGACGCCGAGAAAGTTCAGCAAAAGTGGAAGAATAAGGTTTTCACTCTCCGCCCGATCAGACCGGGCAGTGTCCGCCCGATCGGGCGCGAGAGACGAGATTGGAAGAAAGAAGAGCGAAGCAGGGATTACTCTCCGCCCGACCAGACCGGGCAAGATAAGCCCGATCGGGCGCGAGAGCATCTGTTGGTACGGCTACATTGGCTGCGTACTCTACCCCCCACGCTCGATCAGGCCGGGCAGTGAGTGCCTGATCGGGCACAGGAGGTTAAGGCCTCACCAAATTTTCTAAAAAAAAAAAAAAGAAAAGGGTTTTGCCCGATCAGATCGGGCTATGCCAGCCCGATCGGGCGCGAGTACTTCAGGAATAAGCAGCAGCAGCAGAACATGAGAAACCTTTTACGCCCGATCAGACCGGGCAGCACCCGCCCGATCGGGCGCGAAGATTAACCTGCGAAATCCAGCCATCAAAAAACCCGATTTTCCCCTTTCTTTTCTCATTCCTTCTTTCATCTTCAACCCTCTTCCACTTTTTCTCTCTCTAAAAACCCCCAAATTCCCAACACCTTAACTCCCCACTTCTACAAAAACCACCATAAATCCCCACTCAAAACACAAAATTCCTTCATCCTTCATCTTCCTCATCCATTCCTAACATCCACAACAACCTTTTCCACTCAAAATTCCACCTTCTCAGAAACTCTAGAGAGAGAAAGCTCCAAGTTCATCATCCATAGCATCCTTCTTTACAAGGAAACAGAGTAGGGCGGCTCAAGCACAACCGCAACTAGATTTGGAGAGCATTCCGGAATATCCTAACATCCACTTCGTCGCCGAGTTCCCAAACCAGAAAACGAGGTTGCTTGAACTTCGACACCGTAAGGTAATTCCTACTCGGTTTATAGACCGAGCCTTTCTCTCTAGGTTAGGTATTGACAATGAATGCCGTACATTATTTGCTAAACTTGGCATGACTCAGTTATTTAATATGATTCACTACACATTTGAAGACATTACTTTAGAATTTCTTAGCTCATTTGATGTAGTGAAAGGTAAGGATGGCCTAGTGACGCATGTAGTGTACAGATTGTTGAACAGGTCACACCGTCTCACTCTAGACGGTTTCGGTAGAAAATTCGGACTCCCTTCTACAGGTTTAATTGTACAACCCGACAGTTTCACATCAGGGGAATTATGGTTGGCTATGACAGGGGAAAACATTGACTCAATGCAACATGCCCGAGCCAACAAAATACACCAACCAGTTCTTAGGTTTTGGACTAGGTCTTCAGGATGGACCATTTCCGGTAGGATAGAGCCGAACAACGTTAGAGCAGATGAGGTGGCTATTCTAGGTAGCTACCTTAGGCTCGGGGACGAGGGACAGGAATTTAAGATGAACATTGCCCACTTCTTTGCCCTTCACCTTAGGAAACAGGGGGCAACTTTCACGGCCCTCAAACCCAATGGCGATCGGACTAACATTCCGATTGTTTTAGGAGGCCTAGTCACCCATCTTGCGGTTAAGGAGGGCTTTATAGAAGCCCAAAACCGCCCAGTACCAGGACCTATCACCCTAGACCAGCAATACCTCACCACCACCGGCTGGTTGTCGGTGAAATACGGTAGCTATAGGTGGCTTTTAGATAGGAGTACTAGGCGGTCCATATCCTTGCCTGCCCCTGAGCTTACCAGGATTCAGCCTTTCCAGCCCTCCTACCTACTCCACGCCCCTGGCGATGGCCCTCCTCCCGCTGCACCCACTAGGACATACCATAGGAGAGAGCGTGCCAGTCAGCCTTCTACCTCCACTGATGCACCACCTCCCCCTACCGGTCATGAGGCTATCATAGCCGGAATACAGGACCTTAGGCTAGGCCAGGAGCAGATTAGGCTAGAGCAGCAGTCCTTAGCCGGCCGAGTCCAGACTTTAGAGATTGACATACGTCAATCTATGCTTCCTGTATATGATTTTTTCTGCAGGCAGGGTCATATCTCGAGGGATGCTACCCATCCCTCGTGGTATACCTATCCTAGTATTACTGACATTGCAGGTAGCAGTGGAGCAGCCGGAGGAGTAGGATATGACGATGGTGGAGATGATGGAGATGACGATGGTGGAAATGATGGTGATGACGATGGAGATGACGATGATGGTGATGGGACTGAGATCGAGTTTGAGTGAGAACTCCGACATCTCCTACTTCCCACTTGCTGCAATGAGGACATTGCCAAGTGCAGCTTGGGGGAAGTTATTTGTACATAGTAGCCCTGGTATGTTCTCTGAGCTTTTCTTATTGCTTTTATTTGCTTTAATAGGTTAGTTTAATTGCTCAAAATAATTCAAAAAAAAATTTAAATTAAAAAAAAAATATATACGAAGAGAATCATGATAATTAATAGCCATTGAACTGCTTCCCTGTGCCCCTATCCTAAATAATAAAAAGGTTTTGATTTAATGTTGATTGACGACTTGCATTGTAGTCCGAAAGATCATGATTTGACCTTGAATTTGTTGATCCCTAGTAGGAGTCAAGGTTATTTAACTATGTATGATTCAGGAGCTTGACTGTGTTAACCGTGAGGCTTGAGCCTTATATATTCATTCTTGTGTGTTTAGTTCCTGGTGTAGCATTGATCTTAGTTTTAACTTTAGACTCTTAGTAGTATGTCGTAATGCATTGCATGTGCACATTGAAATGACGAAGGCCATGTTCATTAGGTAGCCTCCAGACAAAATTAGAACATCAGTTCCCTTCTTGCTTACCCATGTTGTAGCTTGACTATATTTTTCATAAACTCCACAAAAATTACCCCTTAGCCCCAATTGGATTACTTTTCCCAAGTCTAGCTTGGGGGAGCTATTTTATGCGGTATTTTTGCGTGATTCTGTTTTAAGTTGCAATTGATGCGAAAATATTGAAAAGAAAAGGAAGAAGAAGAGAAAAAGTGAGAAAAGGAGGTTTGATTGAATTACTTGAAAAAAAAAAGTAACATTTCTTGAAAAAGAAAGAGAGAAATAAAGAAAAGAAAGAAAAATATTTGGAAAAAGTTTCAAATGAAAAATTTGTTGGATTGAAATAAAAAAATAAAAAAAATAAAAAAAAAAATAAATAAAAAAAAATAAAGAAATGAAGCAAACAAGTAAAACAAGGTTGAAGAGTTGAGAATGTAGGTGGATGAGATGATGGTTGTGTTTTCATTGTAATTGGGTTTGTGTTTCATTGATCGAAGTTGATTACCTTTTTATCACAACTTTTCATTACGTTTTTGCATGGTTTTGGGCTCTTTCGAGCCATTTCCCGCTAACAATCTCCTCTCTAGTGTGTTCGGTGTATTTTTATAAGTTTTACAGGAATTTGGAGTTTTCCGGACAATTCGAACATGTTTAGAGCAATTTGGAGATGTTAGTGGACGAGGACGTATAAGCAAGCTAAACAACGAACCAAGACTAAGGAGAAAGGAGGAAGAAAAGCAGCAATTATAGCTGTGCCCGACCGGGTTAGGCATGCCCGGTCAGATCGGGCGTAATAGAGGAAGTCGGGCTAATGGCAGTCAAAGCAATCATCTGAATTTGGCAATCTGTGCCACGCGCCCGATCGGGCAACCCATGCCCGGTCAGACCGGGCGCATGGTAGAAGAAGCTTGACATTGCTACGAAGCTCAAGAGAAGGCAGCAGGATGATTTTGGTCTCGCGCCCGATCGGGCTCAACGTGCCCGGTTGGACCGGGCGAAGAAGAACTCCAGCGGAAGCAATTTTAGCAACTTTAATCCTAAGTGCCCGATCGAGCAGGCACAGCCCGGTTGGACCGGGCACAGTTATGCGACACTCCGTATTATTATTTTCTTATTTTTAGGTCATTAAGGGTATAAATACCCCTTGTAATCTTCATTAGAAAGAAGTTTTAGTTTTCCATTATTCCTCTTTCTCTCTCTAGAATTCTAATTTATCATTTTGAAGCAATTTTAATTCCTTGCACAAGATTTGAGCATTGTTCTTCAACAATTTAATTCCTTTCAATTGAAGAATCCTTGGTATTCACTTCTACTTCATTCTCTTTCAATTATAATTGCTTTTCAATTATGTTTTCCATATTTATGATTGTTATTGTTTCTTTCAATATGTGTGAGTAGATTTTCTATTCCAAGATCTAGGGTAGCCCAATTATGATTGATGCATGAATTAAAACTTTAAATTCTCTAATGACTTTTACAATTGCTATGCTAATTTGATTGTGATTATGCCAATACTAGGTTAGACGTAATCTTAGTATTGTGATTATTCCATTGTTTCTATCACAACGAGAGTTGGATTTAAACGGATTTGAGTAGATCAATTTAGGGTTTGATTTTCAACATGAGAATAGTTGGGTTGATGATTGGGAAGTGAGAGTAATGTGTTTAATGTCTCTAATATGCATGATACCATGAGAATAGGCTTGATTGTATGTTAGGGAAGCCATTGATACTCGAAAGAGGTCCTTGGTATTGATTAGGGTTTACTTTTCCCCGTTCAATTGGAATTGTATGTTAGGGGTAGAAATATAATTGCATCATTCGTAATTGTGGTGATACTTGATCTTGGATGTTTTAATTATTTGATTTCTTCATATTCTTTAGTTTATTTTCGAATTTTCCATACAATAGTTCTTTAGTTAATCGATCATTGTTGAATTCTGCTTAGTAATTACTTGAGCCTAAATAGTTATTGGTGAACCATAGTCTCTTGGGATTCGACCCTTACTTGCCAGTCTACATAGTAGTGGTTAGTTAGGTTATTTTTGCTAGGTACGCGACACGCCTATCAATGAGATCGATTGTTAAGCGGGTTCTCATGAATTATCATCCCACCTTCTGTATTAACAATCTCACTGGTATGACAAGCATCCTCTGAATGACCTAATTTTCCACACCTAAAACAGACCATTTTGATTCCTTCATATTGCACTCGCCATATCCGACCTTTTAACCAGAATTTTGACAATAAAGGCTTGGTTAGGTCAATCTCAACACTTAGACGAGTAAACTGGCCTCGTTCCGCTTGTGCAGTTGTTTTGCCAACTCTCAGCACTTTCCGAATTTTAGAACCAATTTTGCTCAGGAAATTTATGTCAAAATATTCCACAAGAAGGTTAGGAATACGCACCCAAGCAGTCAACATCATAATCGGGGTTTCATCAGGGACAAAATTAGGAATCCATTTTCGAATGGTTAAATAATTATCATTGAGGAGCCAAGGTCCCTGAGTGAGCACATAGGAATAATCCGCTTGATTTGTAAATCTTGCAATATAATAATTGCAGCCAAAATCAGTTAGCGAAAGCTCCCCTCTAATGTTCCATTTTATCTTGAGTCTGCGCATTAAACTCATGTATCCTAATTTTTCACTGAACATTTTAATTATTAGGGAATCCTTCCAAGGTTTACGCAGCCTTCTTTTCTCCTCCTTAGATAATTGGATGACAGGACACCGTTCATCATTTTGAATTTCATCAGGGATTTCTTCATCATCAGATATCTCTTCATCCTCCTCTTCATCAATTATATTGATCTCATGTGAATATACCTCAGCCTGTTTATCCCTTTGCATGATATCTCTGAACGACATGGATCCTCCAGGTTGGATGATTTTCTGATTCAATTGGGGAGGAACCAGAGGATTCCCATTACCCCTATTCATTCCATTTTTAGCATCTGCCATTTCCTCATCATCTCCATTAGATGGATTAGGAATAGAATGTGTGCTTTTACGTTTTGGTTTTTTGTTTGATCGGATCAATTGATCCTGTTCTTCAGTAGAATTTTGGGTTTCATCGAGTTTTTTTGTGTTTTCCATAGAGAGAACTTTTCCGTACTCCGTATAACACAAATGGTAGTGCTATTATAACACAACTTCATTAAATTTGTGGTTGTCACAAAAAAATAAAATAAAATTGTGGAACATTAAAATCATTAATGCGTCCTCTAATTTGTCTCTCGTTCGCATGTCTATTGTGTATGGCTAAGTCATTAAGCGTGGAAAGGTCATATCCATTTTATTAAAGCATTACTCGTAGTAAATGGACCAACTACATTCCTCTAACTCATACGTACTCAAAGTATTTTCCATTTGACTTTTTTCTAACACTTAATGCTTAATTGGATGAGAATGGACCTTAACATTATCTATACGCCAACTACTTGGTTAATGGTTATACACTACTATGTTTTAATTTACAAACTAGGTTTTAATACTTTCTTTTTGAGTTAATTACATTTATTTTTTGTAATTACTTTTATTAATCAATATCTAGGATGGTAAAGTATTAACAAATGATTTTTTAAACAGAGTAACAGACTAACACAACTAAGAACTACTCCGTATGTATAGAATATCTTTAGATATGATGGTATGTCTCTCAATTTTAAAGTGCAAAATAATGCTACTCGTAGTTGAGCATATAACATTTAATTTGTTACAGTAATATTGATGATAATTCCACATAATATCTTGGTTAATGAAAATGTTTAACGCGTGCTATATATATAGATGTTGTAGTCATAAGCCAACTACTCGTACTTATTAACCGTAGACAAAATATAATTGTAAATGTCAACATAAATATATTAATCTACTGTACAAATAAGAATACTTTAGTACTGCTCCAATAATATGGTAATGTTACAATATAAACAACAAAAAGCGATGATTATTCAACATAGATGAATAGTATAAGATACGGATAAGATATTGGAATTCAACCTTCACATCGACTATCATAATTTTCAACCATGTGACCTCATAAGTTCTAAAAAAGGGAAAAACTTCAAATTAAACTTCTGAATATAATAACTTTGTCCGAGTTTGTCCCACTTGGTTTACCAAAGTTTAGCCCCAACTGCATCCGGATCCAACCCAGGTTACACACCTTGACTATACTCTCTAAGGTGGGTAGGGCTGTACACAGTTTGGTCTAGATCGTAACCAAATCAGACCAAATCGCATTTTAGCGGTTTGGTTTGGTTTGCGGTTTGAAAAAATACGGTTTGGTTTCGATTTTTTGGGAAATACGGTTTGCGGTTTGGTTTGGTTTTTCAAAAATTATAAACCAAACCAAACCATAAACCAGTAAACCGCATTTTAATATTTAAATAATTTTAAATAAATTAAAATAGTTATTATATATTATAAAAAAAAAATAAAAAAAAAAATGAAAAATCATTCGAAGACTAAACGGTCAGTATACTACTATACTCTATACTCAATCTCAAAATTATTTTTTTGGACAAATGTATTATGTTTTTTTCCACTGTTAATTTGTTATGTATTATTTTTATTATGTGTTATTATGTTAGCACTTAGCACTTGATTAGTTGGTTGTTATTTTTATTAAAAATTTGTAGTAGAATTTAATCCTTTGGCTAATTATTTGAACTTTATTATAAATTTATTAATATTTGACAATTTTTAGGAAAAAATGCCGTCTCATCATAAACCGCAAACCAAACCGCATTATTACGGTTTGGTTTGGTTTGGTTTCAATACTAATATGGTTTGATTTGGTTTGGAAAATTGACCAAACCGTATTTTACGGTTTGGTTTGGTTTAGACTCAAACCACACCAAACCAGACCATGTTCACCCCTAAAGGTGGGTGAGTTTCTCAACAAGAGTTTTTGCATTCGGTGAGACTCGAACTCGAGACCTCCCTTGAGAGGCGTTAAGTTGCTTATTACCACTTGAACCAACTCTTGTTGGTTTTGAATAAGTGAATATAATATCTTATCACAAATGAAAGAGTCAAATCTGCTCAAATCTATATAAAAAAATAATAATAATAATTTAAATAACAACATGTGAAATTAAGAAATATATATATAAGCTCGTGAACGAAAAACTTTAAAGAAGAATTACCTAGAACTATTAGCAACATATGAAATACTCTCTAAGAAAATTGAATAAATTGTCTAAAAAGCACAGTTGCTATATGATATATAAATTGTGTAAAAGGAAAAAAAGGAATGATCAAGAATATTTGAAATCTGAAAGCAAACCTAAAATATCACTCTTAGGATATTCTTGTTGCTCTAGCTATGATTAATTACCAATAACATAAGCACACCAATAAAAAAGCATTTTCTCTAATCACTCAAACTTAATAAGTGGGTGTCAAGTCCTAATTGCAGCTTCAAAAGATTATGCTAATTTAATTTCTAACTAACACCAGTAATTAAGTGAAAAGCAGCCTTAACTACCAATACATTCATCACTTACTTAGCTTTTGATTGTAATTAAATTAAATAAATTAGAATTGAGAGAAATCATCATAGACCTTAACCTTTTTTTAATGTCCTTTTTATTTATTCCCTTCTTAGTTTCAAAATCTACTTTTAATTTCATAAATTAAATTACTTTTAGTAGTCTAATTATTAGGCCGATTGTTGACATAAATAATTATCATGAATTTTTTACAATTTTCTTTTCAATTCGTTTCATTAATAAATCCATCTAAATCAAGTTTAGTGATCCTTTAGTGAAAAGTAACATTATGTTTTATTAAGAGTTTTAAGATTTTGTTCCATTATGCTTCATTACCAAGAAGATTATTATTATTACTCTGTTTTATTATTATATTTATTACGGAGTATTATTATTATTATTATTATTATTATTATTATTATTATTATTATGGTAAGAAAACTACAAATGCAAACTAAGATTAGGGCCCTTAGCTTATCGCTCTCAAAGATGACCAATAAAATTATACGTAGTATTTTCAGTGTACTTTTGAACATTAAACACCTTCTAGATTTAAATTAGGGACCATTTTAGATAAGTTAAAAGCAAAAAAAATATACATTCAATTCTTACCTCATATTTTATACAGTTGTACTAGAGAAACTATGAAAATTATAGGAAAAAATATTTAATGTGATTGAGAGGGATTATAAATGAAGATGGTGACCTAATAATAAAATGTTCGTAGGAAAGAAGGGAATAAAAATCCAGTAGTACTCCATAATAATAATGCAAAAAGTAAAATTAACTATTAAGTATATAATATAACACGAAGTATATACAATTGAAAATAATTTAGATGAATAAAACATCCATGAACATTATTATTATTATTATTATTATGAATTATATACAACAATATATATTATAGATAAATATAGGCTTAACGAACATGGATCAACAGACATTGTAACATCTGTTTCCTATAAACATTGGAGCCTCTATCTTATGGCACATAATTGGCGTATTATATTTTAAACTATGATGAAATACAATTATATTCAGACTTACCTAAACATAAAATTCACCAAATAATGCATCATTACTATAGCAATCCATGGACTTTCCCCCTTGCCCTGTGTCCTTCAACTCAGGGAGCTCAATTTCACTCCAAAAATCATCATAATCAACTTCATCATCATGATGATCATGATCGTAACGATCAGACGGTGCACATCCACTCACTTTCACCTCCACCACCGCGTTGGCCGCCTTCGTGGCTGCTGCTTGGATATCCCTAGGGGCACATGACGTTGGCCGTGGTAGAAAATCTATTTCCTCAGGGAAATTTAATTGGGCCTTGCACCCCTTTAAGCAATGGGCCGCTACGTCATATGCACGAGCGGCCATCTCGGGTATTGGAAATGACCCGAGCCAAATTCTAGTCTTCTTCCTAGGCTCTCGAATTTCCGATACCCATTTACCCCAACGTCGCTTCCGGACCCCACGGTACACCGGGTGCCTAGTCCCCGTCCCCCGGGGTTTACTCGGCGAGTCGGGGACGTGGTTGGGTCATCAAATTCAGCACTGCATTGTGGTTGCTCCATCTTGCTATCTAATTAGGAGAGTGTAACAAAGCAATCAAAGTAAGGTAACTTTTTTGGTGAACGCACAAGTAGGTTGTACAAGTTGTTTTAGAAGAGGTTTATTTATATAAGGCTTTAAATGGACCTTTGTAGTATGAAACAGAGAAATGACGAAAATGCCCTTTGCATGTTTTAAACAAAATGCAATACAACAACAGTGACGTGGGACCCACGCGCGTCAGCGGCACAAGAGGTCAAATAAAGTGGGGGTCCCCCTTATTTATAGGGTATTATCAATTATAGTTATAGTAGTGATAAATTGAAGGATATGTGGCCTCTAATTATAGGGTAAATGAGCTCGTTAGAGGAGACAATTTATGTTTGGTAATAAAGTGTATAAAGTTTTAGGTGGCACGTGCTCAAAGGGTAGAAAATGACTTGGTTCCCCTACTACCGTAGAACAAGGGCATTATTGGTAATCGCTTTCAATCTTGTATGAGGGTTGTATATTTTGAATGTACTCGTAGATTTTTTAGGGTTCTAATTGTACGATTAGAATAAATTCATCAAATTATCACACCATTATTTATGTTCCTGTCTCATCATTAGTCACCTCGATATATAATTATGTCCCAAAAATTTAATTTATTTAACATATTTGTCTAAATTATGAATCAAATTTCAATATTTATTGTACACTGTATAATTTTATTTAATACTAGTGTTCCTTGTCTTTTCGAGAATGATAGAGTATAAAGGAGGGGCGGATGAGATTCGAACCTGTGACCTTTGTGTCACGTTGGCTCTGATACCATGTTAAAGGACCAACTTAACCAAAAGTTTAAACTGATAATTGAGGTCCAGTAATATGTATTATATTCTATTAGAGAGTACATTTGTTTTTGCAATTACACCAAGTTTATTTTATCAAGGGTATAGCTGTAGTTCCGGCCTTCCTGATAAAGGCTACACATACAATTGTTGTATGTACTGTGGTTCCTACAAACAACTTCTATTTGTCATGTTTTTATTA